ACGACATTGAAAAACACAATAAAGCGTTAAGCACCGTGACATCGGTTTAAAATAAAAAAAAAAAAAAAAAAAAAAAATAAATGTACATGTATACTAAAATTACTTCTAGTTATTACCACCTCTTATACAATAAAGACTCACTCAGTTACCAAAAGCATCTAAGTGCGATCTGCCTCAACAACATGTTCTCTTCCCTACAGGGCTCTAACTTACTAGAGCTTATTTGCAAGATCAACAAAAGCTTGTTGTTAGCTTGTCAAGATTACCATTATTTACTTTTGCTTGGTTTTGTCAGGGATGTCCAAAGGGGCCTAACCACTTTTTGGATGAAGTTTGCTACATATGCTCTTGCTTCTTTGTATACTTTTTGCGCTTTTTCTTTATAAGATTCTTTCTCTACTTCTTGTTTTGTCCCTAATGTTTTGAATTTATCCTTGTCTGGTGCATCTAACTTCTGTTTCTTTTTCTTTTTCTTTGTCCTTCTTCCTTGAACCTTCTTATACTTTCTTTTTCTTTCGCGGGTGATTTTTTGCCTTTCTTCCCATTCTACAATTACTTCGCATCAGAACTTCCAGATTCATTCAAAGAACTTCTTATAGAAAATTCAGAGCATTTTTCTCAGATCGAGTCTCTCTTCTTTGTTCTTGCTTTTGTTTATTATCCCTTGAATGAGTCTTTTCCTTTTTTCTAGCTTCATTTTTCTTTCTATACCAAAGAAGGTTTCTATGGGGTTCGACAGATATTGTGATAGCTTTAGAAAGTTTTCTTTGGCCTTTTTCTTTCTTTTTTCTTCCTAAAATTCCTCTACTACCTCTTTTTTAAGTTTTTCCCAGAGTCTCTTATATATTTTGCATGTTGCGAGGTGGTCTTGTGTTTCTGGCTCCTTTAAACATGCTACGCAGGTATCATTTTTATAAACTTCTGGGTTCCTTATATACAATCTTGTTAATGTAGGTAATATTTAGTTTAAGGCTTTGACTTGAAAAGACCATATACTGCTTTGCTTTGTGCTTATGCATCTCTGTCCTTTTACTTCATTTATTAGGCCCCATGTATCTCTCTACTCATAATCTTTTTCTAGTTTGCTACTTTCGAGATTACTTTCTTTTTCTATAAACTATTTTCACTCTGTATCGTATATTGTATTGGTCACCTCATCTACCATCTTTCTCACAGGTCAGTCTATTATATGACTCTTCTATACTGGGTTTACCCGTATGCCTTTGGTTAGGCCAGGCTCAAAGGAGACTATGCATGTGCTTTCTCAGCCTTTATTGGCAAGTCTATCCACATTTTCGTTCCCTTCTACCCCACTATGGGCTTTGACCTTTGTGAAGCTTACTTCAAGCTCTTTGATTTTTATAATATTTTAATTTTGTTACTATTTAATTATATATATATTAATTTTTTATAACAATTAGCTAATAATAAGATAATAGCAAGCTAATTAAAAATAATTTAGAAGTAATTTAGTAGAATAAATAATATTTTAATTATAATTTAAGAGTATTACTAACTATAACCAGTAGTAATCATCACCAAGATGCTTATATTTCAAAAATATACTAAGTAAACAGGATCAGATACTTTAAGTAAAAATATTCAGGATCTCTAAAAACTTTATAAAAACTAAAATTGGGACCTTATTAGCTTTATATTATATTATATATAAAAAAAAATAATTCTTAATACCTACATTCTAACTTCAAAAATAATTAGAAGTAATAATAAACACTACTGGTTATTTTAAGTATATTTTATAATTTAATTATAATTTAATTATAATTTAATTATAATTTAATAGTAGAGAGTACTATTTTAAAATTATATATAAACTTAATAGTAATTTTTTTTATATTTAATTTTATAAAAAAATTTTTTTTTTTTTGGTATTAAGGTGAGGCTTTGCTTATATCTTTATTAAATAATTTATATAAGTAGTTATATAGAAACTATATAAAAACTCAGTTTATATACAAACAAATAAATATAAATTACATGCAAGAATAGAAGCTCAGTCTGATTTATCTGTGACCTAAACCTACTAGAGTGGTCAAGACTTACCTAGATTTGGATAGTTAAATAGGTATACTATATTTAATTCACATGGTGGATCAAGTATTGTATTTAAAAGAAGCTTGTCCTAGTGGAAGCATGTATTAGATTCTGAATATAAGTAGTTAGCAAAGCTGCAACGGCAACTATAAGTATAATTAATTCTATTTTGTGATTTCTAGAAGGTAGTGAGATGTGAAGTATGGTATTGATTCGTGATGAGATTTGGTGAGCTCTTTTCCAAAGAGAAAAGTAAGAACAGTAGAGAATTCAAATATTATTATAAAGTTTGTTAGAGATTTTTAAAAGTATTTTAATAATAAGTTGGGAAGCCTGTGAATAGAAAATTTCAAAAGAGCCTAAGAATTAAATTAGAGTGATGGGTATAGCTGTAATAGAGAGAAGTTAAAGGCAGGATATAAGGCAATAGTACGTATTTAGTTATTAAGTTAGTATATTGAGAGATTAAGATTGGCACTAGAGATAATATTGTGTATTGAGGTATTAATAGCTTGGGTTAATAAGGTGTTGTTAGGGCAGGAGTACTAGTAGGAAGGGGTATCAGAGCAGCGTCTAAGATTCAAATGTGAATTGCTTAATTTTTGAACCAACCGATTTGATTGAATCCGCAATAGCTACATAAATATATTTTTTTTAAAGATATTATGTAGTGTAAAGAATTAATTGTATAAAATAATGGATTTAATTAGGCAAGGTTTTGGCCGAAAAATTGAACTTGATTTAGGATTAAATAAATTTTATTTAGAAATCAAATTGGTTTAAGGCTAGAACTAAAAATAAGATTGGGTGGATATAATTGGGTTTTAGTTATAAATAGAGTTGGGTTTTGAGATTAGAACTAAAAATGCAATCAGGTATAAAAATAGGTATTTAATTAAAAATAAGATTAGAACAAAAATAGAATTGTATGGTTGGAAATAAGTTTGACAAATTAAAAATATTTTTATAATATTTTTTTTTTTTTTTTTTGGCAATCTTGCCTTTATATTTGAGAGATACTACATTTATAAATGTACATATATACTAAAATTGCTTCTAGTTATTACCACCTCTTGCACAATAAAGACTCACTCAGTTACCAAAAGCACCTAAGTGCGATCTGCCTCAACAACATGTTTTCTCCCCTACAGGGCTCTAACTCACTAGAGCTTATCTGCAAGATCAACAAAAGCCTGTTGTTAGCTTGTCAAGATTACCATTATTCACTTTTGCTTGGTCTTGTCAGGGATGTCCAAAGGGGCCTGACCGCTCTTTGGATGAAGTTTGCTACATATGCTCTTGCTTCCTTGTATACTTTTTGCGCTTTTTCTTTATATGATTCTTTCTCTACTTCTTGTTTTGTCCCTGACATTTCGGGTTTCTCCTTGTCTGGCGCATCTAACTTCTGCTTCTTTTTCTTTTTCTTTGTCCTTCTTTTTTGAACCTTCTCATACTTTCTTTTCTTTTCATGAGTGATTTTTTGCCTTTCTTCCTATTCCACAATTACTTCGCATCAAAACTTCCAGATTCATTCAAAGAACTTCTTATGGAAAATTCAGAGCATTTTTCTCAGATCGAGTCTCTCTTCTTTGTTCTTGCTTTTGTTTATTATCCCTTGAAATTGTTGTAATATTATTTAAATTCTCTTTCTTTTTATTTTTATTATATTTTATTTTTTAATACTTCTATTTGAATTAAATTTTTAAGGAATAGAGTTTAATAAGATAATAATAGTATAATCAAATTTTATAAGATATTTAAATAACAAATAAAAATAAAAATCATTATAATAAATACTGCAACTTTTCAAATAAAGTTATTTATTTTGAACTTCAGATATTTCTTCAGATAATGTAAGATTATATTGTGAAGTCACATAGTTTGAAATTCTAATTGACTTGAAAATAACTCTACTTAATATTCTACTTGATAAATATGCATGTGGATGTGATTTATTTTTATTTTTTTGATTGGAAATTGGTGAAATTGAAATAGTATTATTGGAATTTCTATTTTTATAAATATTTATAAGTTCATAATTAGTGAATTCACAAAGCTCTTCAATGGTTGGCCTTTTAAGTAAATCAGTATTCCAGCATTTTTGCATTATTTCTGCAAAACATGTACGAATATTTTGTAGACGTAGTGATCTCAATCCATTGCATATTTCTATTATTAACTGAGTGTCATGTGGCCTATTATCAAAGGGTGGACAACCTGAAAATATTTCTCATAACAACATCCCAATACTATAAATATATGATTCTTTTGTATATTTTCTTCTTTCAAATACTCCTGGTGCAATATATGGTATGATTCTATAAACTTTATTTGATGATTTATCATCAACTGGCCCACAAAAATCTAAATCTGTAATAAACATTTAGTTAACTCCATTAATATATTGCTACTATATAAATCGCAATGTACTAAATTTTTTTTATAAATATCATATAATGACATATGGGGACCCCCATAGCAAAACAAACCAGTGGGCAAAAAATTTTGATTTTGTAATTTTATAAAAATTGCATTTCTAATACTTCAATTCTTC